GTCAAAATGACCATTAAGAATAGGCTCTACAGCTGCTTGTATGTACTTCACCACAATTTTCCCTCTCAAAATATAATCAGGCTGTAAATTATTCAGTTCGTCTTCAAAAGGATCCCAACTTGACTCGAAAGTTTCGATATGGTGAAGATAAAAGAACCCTTCTTTTTGATCAATAATGGAATTCAATTCCTCTATAGTTGGTGTGTAATAAGGAAAATTGATGGCATTTCGATCTGCTTTTCTTGCAAGTCCCTAAGAAAATCAGAGTAAATGTTATGAAATTTGGAAAATGAAACAAATCATAACGGTAATTGTAATGCCTCTGTATTAAATTTGAAAGAATTGTTTATTTATCATTTTAAGAAACTCCGCAGTTAAACATGCTCATCCCGGAGAAATCCTAGATGGCTGAAATCCTGGGAAGTTACACCAAAAGGACAAAACTATGAGATCCTTAAGCTAAAACAGACAATATCTCAATAGTTAAGAGTTTGGGTTGTTACAGTATCAGACAAATACATATATGTATATAATGATCATTCATTAAAAAATATTGATAATTTATCAATTTTTTATAATCTATGATTGTTATAAGCAGTTAACGACATGATTATAATGATCAATTATTAAAAAAAAAATATTGATAGTTTATCAAATTTTCATAATCCATGATTGTCATAAGAAGTTAAGGACATGATTACCGAATTCTATCATTTGTAAGAGATTCAGAATTAAAAGAATAAGATAATTTCTTACCTCAGAAATCATATCATTTAATGCCAGTCTTAAAAGCCCCAACATATAGAACGAATCTTTATACTCTGAATTATTTACTCTTCCTGCAATTGTTAGCACCATTCTTCCTCCAAAAATTAGTTCTTTGGATCTTAATTTAAGGAAGGTTGAAAAATCCTCTTTGAATTGTTCCGAGTACAAATTTTCCTTCTTCAGTTCATCAAAAGTGCTTTCATCATCAACCATTCTTGGCACCTACATATTCTTGTTAGTTTAAGCACAATAATTGTATGAATGAGGATGCAAAGAGTTTTGATATTTCAAATAATTATATTTAAATTTCTCTTATGTATCATTACTGCGTCCAATCTAATTTTGTTCGTGTCCTACGTTGCAATTTGTAGCTAATTTGAAAAAAATTAACTAACCTGTGAAAGCCACATTTGACTATAAGAAGAGTGAAAGAAATGAACGCTCTTAGAAGGAAAAAGCCGAGTGTAGAATGATCCTGGGGATCCAGCGACATAAAATGGCACAACGTTCTCCCCCTTGTCCTCCTTAATTTGCTTCTTATAATCCACCAATGAACGAAAGATATTGTTGAAATCATTTCCAGGCAGATCATTCAAAAATATTTGTATTTCTGATTCATGGCTGATATCTAACCGTCGACTAAGGTCATGGATAACGCTAATGATCTCAGAGATCACCAAAAATGTGTTTGGGCCCGACGAGCAACCCAAGTCAGCTGCTACAAATTTCATGGGGAAAAGAGTTCTGTAGACTTCTCTTATAGCTTCTTCTACTATTGGCTTTGCTTTCAAAATTACCTTTGCCTGTTTAAAATGACGAGGTCATTAGTATTACTGTATAATAATGCTAATTATTTAAAATTACGTACTTGAACAATGGAGTTTTTAGCATAGCTTGTCTCTCCAGTTCCTCCCACCATATGCACAATTTGTTCGACCTTAGCGGAAAGAGGTTTTTCCCCCATTTATGGTTATTATTGTACTGCCGAATCTCTTTGAAACCTCGTTACGATTCTCTTCTTTATTCTTCACTTCAGCTTTGACTGGTTCTCTATGTTAAGACCATGTACACGTCAGCAGTTGGTTATGTACTTTCTTGTTTTATTCAGTTATATATACAACCTATGTAATACACTTTGCTATGAATGAAATACATTTTCCTCTTCGTGATTCTCTCTCTACTCTTCCTCTCTGCTTCTCTGTTCTCGCGTCTTGCATCCGCAAGATCATTCCTCCTGAACATCAAACGCTCACATGGTATCAGAGCAAAATCGCTTCACGGCTTAGATCCTGTCCATGGCTGAACAAGAGTCGGCAACGTCTCGCCGAACGACGTCTGACACCTCCGACTCTCTGGCGGAATACATCATTCCAGCTCCCCTCAAATTCTTGATCTCCAATACTAAGAACCTAGTGTCCACACAACTGACAACAGAAAACTACGCAATATGGAGGCTGCAAGTTCAACAACACTTCATCGCAAACGGATTTGGTGATCATCTTACAGGTTTAGCGGTGCGCCCTTCGGAATCTTCCAAGAAAGAACACAATCTGTGGAACTTGATCGACAGAAACTTGGTCTCTGCTCTTCTTTCTACCATTTCGTCATCCGTGCTTCCCTACGTCATCTCACTGCAATCCGCCCATGAGGTTTGGATCACACTCGAGCAGCGACTTCAACCAACGAATCGCTCACGAGTGATTCAGCTTAAAAACGAACTTCACAGTATTCAGAAAAAGGATCGCACCATACATCAGTATCTTGATCAAATCAAGATCCTGGTGGACAACATCGCCGCCGCAGGATCCAAGGTCGACACCGAGGATGTAATACTATACATTCTAAACGGATTACCTACAGAGTATAATCCCTTCAAAACGGCGATCAGGACGTCCCTAAATCCTATCAGTCTCGACACTTTATACTCTCTATTATGCAGCGAGGAGATCAATCTCCAGCACGAACGTCTTCAAGAAGGTAAAAATCAGCCTGACGCAACAGCATTCTTCTCCGCCAGGAACAATCGGGGCCGATACATCAAGAATCGTGGGCGGAACTACAACTCAAGAAATACACCCACTACAGATACATATAACGCTCCAAGAAATCCCTCCAACCGGCCTACTTGTCAAATATGTGGCAAACAAAGCCATGAGGCGCTAAATTGCTGGCACAGGTGCAATTTACAGTACGCACCTCCCTCAAACCAGCGGGCATTAGCCGTTCAACAACAATTTTCCTCCACCGGCGAATGGATATTGGACTCCGGAGCATCCTCGCACCTCACCTCGGACGTCTCCAATCTTCAAAATTCCACTCCATTCACCGGACAAGATTCAGTCTCAATAGCTAATGGTAACAACTTACCCATTCAAAATACAGGTCAAGGAATTCTACCCCTACCCGACTCATACCGTAAGCTAACACTTCGCAAAATTCTTCATGTGCCTTCTCTTTCTCATAATTTACTATCCGTTGCCAAACTTACATCTGACAATAATATTTCAGTTTCTTTTAACGCTAACGGTTTTGAATTTAAGGATCGTCGGGACAACCGCACTCTTCTCCGGGGACCTCAACGCAATGGGCTGTATCCCATTAAGCTTCCTGTTCACAGACGCATCAATGCTCTGCAGACGTCTTGCAATAATCGGGCTAAATGGCACGCACGTTTAGGACACCCTCATTTTAGATTGCTTAGCTCCATGACCGCACTTATTCCGGACTTAGCCGGATCTCACCCTTCTTTAGATACTTGTGTTTCCTGTAATATCTCAAAGAGTCACAAATTGCCTTTTTCACATAGTTCTTTTGAGTGTAATAAACCATTCCAGCTCATTCACTCGGACGTATGGGGTCCGGCTCCTATAGCTTCGACTAATGGTTTCTTTTACTATGTGATTTTCATTGATGAATTTACTAAATTTTCTTGGCTATACTTGCTAACATCCAAGAACGAAACGTTCATCAAATTTAAACAACTACACAATCTAATTAAAAACAAATTTGGCTATAGCATTCAAACGATCAGGTCTGATGGGGGCGGAGAATTCAATAGCACAGAATTCAAGCAGTACATGATCAACAACGACATCACTCATCAAGTGAGCTGTCCTCACACACCGGAACAAAACGGTACTGCCGAACGCAAACATCGGCATCTCTTGGAAACAACCAGAGCCCTCCTTCACGCTGCGGATCTCCCTCCGAACCTTTGGGCAGACGCTGTCTCCACGGCCAATTATTTAATCAACAGGTTACCTTCATCCGCCACATCCAAGCAAACACCATACTACCGATTGCATGAGAAAGAAGCTTCATACACCCACCTTCGTACATTCGGGTGTCTTTGCTTCCCATGGACGACACCTTATGCAAATAACAAGCTTTCCCCACGTTCCATGGAGTGTGTTTTCATCGGCTACTCCTCCCAACACAAAGGTTACCGCTGTCTTCATATACCTTCCAAACGGGTCTACATATCCCGACACGTCAAATTCGTGGAACACCACTTTCCATTCACTGATTTAAAAGCAAAACAGCCCAACATCACAGCTCATAAAACAGAAAACCCACTGCTCTTAGTACCCATCTCACAGCTTACATCAATGCATCCTCAGTCGTCCACTGTAAGCTGTCCACCGCAAGACCATACCATCCCAATTCAACAAGAATCGTCTCAGCAACACACAAATTCATCCAGCCCTCCTGCTCCCACCATCTCGCAGACCGCTTCGGGTCATCCAATGACTACACGACTCAGGGCCGGTATTCTCAAACCAAAAGCAATATTCGATCTCTCTGCGGTTTCAACAGCAACTTCCATCCCAACGTCATACAAGCAGGCATCACAATATGACCACTGGCGCTCTGCAATGGCAGCCGAATTTTCCGCTCTCCAGCAAAACAGAACGTGGTCGCTTGTTCCTCGTCCAACCGACAAACCCATATTGGGATGCAAATGGACCTTCAAGAACAAGCTACTCCCCAACGGTCAAATAGAACGACACAAGGCACGTCTCGTAGCGCAAGGTTGTTCGCAAGAATTCGGCGTCAATTACACAGAAACATTCAGCCCGGTCGCCAAAATGGTGACCATCCGCATCCTTCTCACGATTGCCCTGCATAATCAATGGTCAGTTATTCAACTTAACGTCGCCAATGCATTTCTACACGGGGATCTACTGGACGAAATTTATATGAAACAACCGGCCGGATTCGTCGATCAAACACATCCGCAGCACGTATGTAAAATTGCACAAATCCATCTACGGGCTCAAGCAATCACCTCGTCAGTGGTTCCAAAATTCACCAGTCTCCTGCAAACTCAAGGGTTCCAATTTAGTAAAGCGGATCCGTCTTTACTCATCTACAATCACGATAATATATTCATTTTTATTCTTATATACGTTGACGATATCCTTGTGACAGGAAACGACAGTACCAAAATATCATCCATTCTCAAGCAACTACATTCTGCATTTCGTCTAAAACAGCTAGGCGACGTCTCTTTGTTTCTGGGCATACAAGTGAACAAAACAAAGCAAGGCTACTTTCTCCACCAAGCGCACTATGCCCGCGATCTTCTGACTCACGCCGGATTCCTGGACTGTAAGCCAGCGGCCACACCCATGGGTATCAAGCGCAAGGTAAGCGTGGATGAGCAACCATTTCCCGATCCCTCACTTTTTCGCAAAATTGCAGGTTCTCTCCAATACTTATCTATTACAAGACCGGACATTGCCTTCGCAACAAACTCTATCTGCCAGCACATGCACAAGCCTCGCGTCAAGGATTATCAAGACCTAAAGCGACTTTTGAGATACATCAAAGGGACTTTACACTTTGGTCTCCCTCTCCAATCCGGTCACCTACAGCTAATCACCTATGCCGACGCCGACTGGGCAGCGGACTCATCGGATCGCAAGTCTATCTCCGGTCACTGCACATTCCTGGGCTCTAATTTGATATCATGGTCAGTAAAGAAACAGGTCACGGTGGCCAAGTCCTCCACCGAGGCAGAATACCGATCGTTATCCTCCGCCACTTCTGAAATACTATGGCTCCGTCGTCTCCTCTCCGAGTTTCAAGTACCTCAAACTCAACCTACAATACTCAACTGCGACAACACATCGGCAATTGCGCTAGCACACAACCCCATTTTCCATGCGAGAACTAAACATATAGAAATAGATTACCATTTCATTAGCAGTCATATAAAGCAAGGAGAACTTCTCATTAAGCATGTTAGCTCGGCAGACAACATAGCCGATGTACTAACAAAACCTTTATCTCTACAGCAGTTCAACACACTACGATCCAAATTAACCATTCATTCACAGAATGATTAATTTGAGGCGGGCTGTTAAGACCATGTACACGTCAGCAGTTGGTTATGTACTTTCTTGTTTTATTCAGTTATATATACAACCTATGTAATACACTTTGCTATGAATGAAATACATTTTCCTCTTCATGATTCTCTCTCTACTCTTCCTCTCTGCTTCTCTATTCTCGCGTCTTGCATCCGCAAGATCATTCCTCCTGAACATCAAACGCTCACAGCTTACACACAGAGAACACAAGATTTTTTACGCAGAAAACCCTGAATAGGGAAAAAACCACAAGGTCTAGCCTAGTTGAAAAGATTTCACTGGAATTTGAGTTGATTACAGTGAGCTGACCGTCCTTGAGGGCGATCGGATTATAAATGTCAACCGTATGGTTGAAATCTAGTGTTAAATCTGGCATCACTTCCAGTCCAACAGGAAGGATCGTCGAAGGAGGAGAAGAAGCTATCGCCTCGTGCAGGAAAAGTCGAACAGGTTGAAGGAGGCGAAGAAGTTAGCGAAGTTGAACGGCAACGAAGCTGTTTAAAAGAGTAAACTCCTTATTTTTTTATTTGGAATTATTTTAATTAATTTATAATATAAATAATTAATTAGATAATTAGCGGTACAAAACTTAATCAAATAAATAGTTTAAAATATAAAT